TGCCTCAGAATTTTGTTTTATTTTTTTTTATACAGATGTTGGATGTGAATTGTGTAGCACTTGTGCCTTTTTAAAACTTTTGAGAAGTGTATTTGAATCATTTATTATGTTTTGGGAATCTTTGGTGTTTTTGGCCTTAAGTTGGTTTTTTTTTTTTTTTTTTTATAATTTTTTTAATACAACTATTTTTTTTTTGGAAGTTACATTTTTTTGGCTTATGGTTTGATAATTTGATTTGTTCAATTACAATTTTTTTCCATTCAATTTCACTTTTGATGCATTTAAGCTAGTTTTGAAAAAGTCAAAACATGTATGGTTTGTTTGATTTTAATTTTAAAATTAATACAATTTAGTTTGATAAAATGATTTGTTCGATGAATTATTTTTATTTGATTATATTTTCTATTTATAAAATAAATTTTTTTAGCACAAACTCACCCCTTCACCTTACAGGACTGCAGGGACCAGAAAGTGGCATCCAACTAGGTTGATTATTTTGTTATAATAGAAGAAGAATTAATGAAACCCTTAAATATAAAAACAATCAATAAAAAATCACGACACATATCAAATGAGTTAGTTTCTATTTATTAACTATCTAACAAAAGTAGATTAACATGTTTCACTCGCAAGACTTTTACTTTTCGTTCAATGATGAAGAGTGATACATATTATTATCTGCATATTTGAGCGTCTAATCTAACTAGTGGAAATTTCATAAGTTATAATCTAACTTGAAATGATTAAAAGGAAACATATATATGTATAAAAAAAAAAAAAAGCAAAAATGAAAAACTAGTTTGCATTATGTGTGTATGACATCCCATACATTAATGGAGGAATTGTTTAATGTATTTCAATTCATGATGAAGAAGAATGTTGAAAGAGGAGGTAGATTAGGTTTGCATGATGATAATGATGTTTAAATTATATATAATATATATACATACATTTATATTCATTGAACATGGCTTTTGAATCATGATAGTGGTAAACTATATTCCTTTATTATTATGTTTGAAACACTTTACGTCGAGACTTGAATTTTTGACCTCATTTTAATAACCCTAAATTTCATGATTAATTTAGTGAAATTTCAGAAATATGCTCTTCATTTAATCTTCTATCCAAGATGTTAAACGAAAAAAGAAAATTGGAAATGGCCAAACCTGCCAAACTTTCTAATGGAAATTTCATTCATATATAAATTTATACAAAAAATTTAATAAGAATGATGTAACATTGTCATTATTATAATTCATAAATAAATCTATAATATTTTGTTTTGGAATGAAAGGTCCACAATGAGCTACATTATTATGTATAAATTTTTTATTTGTATAGTATTACTCCTTCCCAATTCCAAAAATAACATATTCATTTTGATTGTTTTTTTGGTATCCATGATGTTGACCTGACTAATTCCCAATACATGTAGTACCATAAATATCAAATACTTATCGAGCTTAAATCCTCAAGAGATACTCAATACAATTTGGGCATATCCATTCCAAATTCGATTCGACTAACTTCACCATAATGAGAAGAAATTCAAATCTATATACAAAATGAACAAAGCAATGAAGTCATTGCCTAAAGAAGACACAAATATGACACAATTACGTATGTTTGAACTCCTGTAGCAACAAAATCAGATGAACATATATACAGTTAGGGCTGCAAATGAACCGAGCTGTTCATGAACAAGCTCGGCTCGGCTCGGCTCGTTAAGGGCTCGGCTCGACTCGTTAAGCTCGGCTCGTTTATCTTTATTTAAATTATATAATAAATATATTATTTATATATTAAAAACAGGCGAACTAAAACTAATCAATTGAATATGTCATCGAATATGACGGTTGGAATAATACATCAAATTTATGTATTGATTGATTATGTATATGATGTGTGTTTATATACATTGTGTTGTGTGGGAGAAGCTAGGGGATGTACTACACGGTTTAGGGGAAGATGGGGGATGGACTCCTATACCGGATATTATTTGGGAGGAGATAGGGGATGGACTCCATCGATACAACAAATATGTGTATCTATTGAAGTATTGATACAGCAAATCTGTGTATCATATATGAAGTACGGGAGTGTTTTATTCGAGATTGATACAGCAATTATGTGTATCTAATGTGACTTATGAAGTGTTTAATTTGAGTTGTTATCTCAATTGAGATGGAAACATTATTGATATGAGATATAATCTCACTTAAAGTATATGGCCAAGTTCTTAATGGTTACCTTATTTGTCATGTAATTGAAATGAGTCATGAGTTGATTTATGTAACGACCCTCACTCTACCCTAGTCATGCTTGCATATATTATATGATCTTGTCTTGATATATTACATCTTTGCAAACCTTGATTTGTCTTGCTTACGTGTTTCTCGCATGTTTTGTACCTTGCTTGGTGTGAGTTTAGCTGAGGTCATCTTCAGTCTAGAATTATCTTGGAACCACTTTGTTTGACCTCCACCTTCGCCTTGACATATTGGCCGAGATGTCATTATCTAGGCCGAGGTGTTCATCACCAAGGTCGAGATGCATATTATCCAGGCCGAGATGTCACCTTTGCACCTAAGTGATCTTGTCTTGGAGTGGTATGACCTAAACCGATGTGTGGCACATCTAGGCCAAGGTGTGGCACAGCTTAGTCAAGTGTTGTCCTTCCTAACCGTTATATATTAAATAATATAAATAATATTTTTTATTTAAATATTTATATTTAAATAATATAAATAATATTAAAAAAAAATTATCGAGCCGAGCCGAGCTCGAGCTCAAGCTCAATAAACGAGCTCGATAAGTAAACGAGCCAAGTTCGAACTCAGCAAACCTCGGCTTGGTTCGGCTCAGTTCGTTTGCAGCCCTATATACAGTCAATTTATTAACCCAAAACAAGAAACTTGCTCGCAAGTTTCTCCCCCATGCACGCCGAAGTTCATTGCACAGATGAACCTCATGTTCAGCGCCACGTGAAACAATTTGAACTATGTGTGGAAATCAGAGCTCCATTAACAGAGGATTTCAGATTTCTCTGGAAGTCCAAGAAAATGGCAGAACAGCTGATTGTTGGCTCAATCTGACCTCCAATGCTGGCTATGTAGCTGGCACGTGTCTGTCGATCCCGAGTAAATGCCTAAAGGTAGGGAGCTTTAGTGTGTCATTGGCCCGGCCATGACACGCGTCGTCGTCGATTGTCCATACCTGTGAGTGTGCAGAGTGGGTAAAATAAGAGCAAACAGAGCACAACAATACCTGAAGCATGATGAACCAAATGATGTAGAATTGAGATACACAGGAGTTCTAATTCAACAAACACCACTTTAAAAAATAATAATAATAATAATAATAATAATAATAATAATAATAATAAAAATCAACACACGTAGCCACACAATCTGCCTACCCTTTTTATTTATAGCTTCTGCAATCATTGAACAATAAACAAAACACAAGCACAATGAGCACACACTCATCGAGTGGAAAATAGTAATGCTAAGTAGAAAATAGTAAGACGCTAGCACTACAATTGTTTGGTAAGAGTGTGGGCCCATTGAGAAGGAATGGGTTAGTATCAACACTGCATTTTGTGGACTTTTTTGGAAATTTTTCATGTCCATTGTTTTCCATCTCAATGTGCATAATGAATCAAGCTATTCAAGCTCGACTCCTGTTTGACTTATTAGAAGCTTATTTAAAATCTGTTTGTTATGTGAGTAAGTCAAGTTTGAACACATTTTAAAGCTCATTAATTTTTCAAGCCAAGTTTGAACAATTTACTACTTGGCTTGGCTCAATAAGCATCTATGCACTATAAAAATAAAAATAAAAAGCTGTCTGTTTGGTAATTTTTACGTTTTCAGTTTATATTTACAAAAATTTTATAAACTGATTTTTGTTTATTTTTAAATAAACATAAATTACAAACGCGTTTGGTTTAGACAAAATGTTTAAAACAATTTAAAAATATAAAAAAGAGTGAGAAATGGCAAGTGGTGGCGGGTGGTGGCAGCGGAAGACGGTGGTGGAAAATGATGGCGGGTGGTGGTGGCGGAAGACGATGGTGGAAAATTTTTCTTCAAAACTTTTTAACTACCAGTGAGAGAGAGAGAGAGTCACTCAAAATATTCAATACTACTCTGTTTCTTTGCTTCTTCTCTACATCAGATCTTGTTCTTCCCCAAGAATTCAATGAAATCTGAGATGGGTTCTTTAGTTCTCCAATAAAACTCGTAACTCACTTGAATTTTCTCATCAGATTTCACTATTTCAGCTTTCAATTCTAGTTTTCTGATCTGGGTTTTTCGTGTTTGATCAGCATTTTGGATCGGAACAGAGTAATTCAAGTTCCTGTGATTAGATTTGAATTCTCTGAGTCTGTTTTCTGATCTGTGTTCTCTCTTTCGAAGTTTATTGTAATTCTCATCAATGGAAGAAGATCAAGAGTTCAAGCATTCTTGCAAATTCTGCAACAAGAGCTTCCCTTGTGGAAGATCATTGGGAGGTCACATGAGGTCTCATGTCATAAATTCCTCTGTTGAAACCGACGAAAAGCTCACCAAAAAGAAGCTCTCATCGATCAACAATGGCGAAAACAATGCTAGTTATGGACTCAGAGAGAATCCCAAAAAGACTTGTGACGGTGGCGGATGGTGGGTCGAGTGGGTGGCAGGTGGGTGGTGGTGTGTGGTGGGTGGTGGTGGCAGGTGGTGGTGGGGAGTGGGTGGTGGTGACGGAAGACGGTAGTGGAAAATGATGGTAGGTGGTGGCTAGTGTTGGGTGGTAAAAAAAACCTCAAAACGTAAACTCATTTTTTGTGTTTTCATTTTTTGGCCAAATTTATAAATTGAGACCATTGATTTATAAATCAAAAATTTACCAAACAAGTTTTTATTTGAGTTTTTAAAATTTTTGTAAATATAAACTGAAAATTAAAAACGTAAGTGTTACCAAACGACACCTAAACTATTGGAATTCGACTCGAGTTCAGCTCGTTAAAAGCTCGTTTAAAATTGACTCGTTATGTAGACAAATCAAACTTGAACACATTTTGAAGTTTGTTAAGTTTTAAAGTCAAGCTTGAATAACCTACTGCTTAACTTAACTCGGCTCATTTGCAATCTTGTATGCATGCTCATTTAAGGATCAAAAGATTCAATTTTCCTTATCCCAACGAATTCTCCTCATATTGCATGCAATCTCTAGTGTTTTTTTTTTTTTTTCCTTTCCCCATGTGGTTGTGCTATGAACCTTTTTAAATTGTACCTCTTTTTCTTTCTTGGTTTTTGTGTGTGGATGTGCTATGCCTGAGGTTTTATAAACCTATTTGCATTGCAACTAGAAATTTGCTTGCTAATATACAAGGAAGTCACTTTTGCAATTGGGTTTTACTCTGAACTCCATATAAGTTCTAGTCCAATATGGGAAGATTAAGCAGATACTAATCACATCTGCTATTTTAATGAGAACTATGAATCAGAACACACTGAACATGCTCTTTCTTCTACTAAATGCAAGATTTAATGTAAAAATAAAACTACATATGAGACTTCGAGTCTGGATTCTCGGTCTAGATCTCCCGTATCCCCTTGGTCCCAAACACCTCTCTACCACAAGATGAGCCTCTCTAACCTGATCGTGTGATGGATACATGCTCTAGGGCAAAAGAACAGGAGAGCTCCGGACAGAGAATCCACTGTCAGGCACTTAAATGTACTTCCTAATTGCTGGGATTTGGTCTATAAAAAAGACAATTGGAGAATCTGAGCACCAAACATGCATCAACACAAAAATATATCAACAACTAATTAGTAATGTTTGACTCATACATATAACAAATATACATACAAGGCGGGCTCAGAAAGGCCCCAAAATTTCAGCTAAATTACACCCACAACCAGAATCCCAGAGAACATGGAAATATTCAACAACTGTCTTTTAAGATTTGTTACAACCACATCTTTTTCAGCCAATGTTTTATGTAAATCAGAGACTATTCTCATTTAACAACCTCTTTAGATGAAACAAGCTTAGCCTTTTGAGATCCGGGAGGGGTTGTGCAAAGATTTGCGGATATCTTGGTGACACGGGTTCAAATCAAGAAAACAACCTCAACATAAATGGGGAAGGAGATCCCGCTGAAGAGGGACCCTCATCCACTAGGTCACCTTGACTACTCTTAAAGTTTGATACTACCACTTCATTTTCTACCCCCAAGCATATTTCCTTTGCTTTGCAAATAGTGAAAGATGGTGGATAAAAATAAAGTTCAACCAGTTTAGGACCTTATCAAGATTTGGCAATTTATGGGAACATGGACACGAGGCAGAAAGTAACAGACATAACTTAATCAGGTGGAGGTGTTGAGTGGCTTGAGCAACCATCTTTCTGAGAGTGATACCAGAAACAAGATATTCGTTCTTTGCCTCTCATACCCACAAATTACAGATTCTAAAATGGTCCCCAAAATACAAATATTCTTTGACCCTCAAAATGGTTGAAAGAAAAGATAACGTGAGTTGGACTGAAAGAAAAGATAACGTGAGTTGGACTGAAAGGGGCAAAGTTGATCAAAATGAAACTACATGACAACCAAAACTTTTCAAAACTGCTGGACGAGAATAATGGAATAAACCATGAAGGCAATGTGTCAAGAAGAGACAAAGAGGTCCCCATGAACCAATTGTCACATGGAATGGAATAAACAACTAGGGACGTTTTGGGTACCTTTCAGAGGGTTGCTATGTGTCATGCTCCTATTGATCGATTCACATCCATATCTACCAATAGGATCAACCCTGCCATAGAACTGACATCATCCCATGCCTCATCTGCCAAATTCACAATCCAAAAACAAATTGAAGAAACGAAAAGAAAAAAAGAAGGAAGAAAATGAATTTTTTACATCATCAGCCCTGCAGATAAAATAACAGAAGAGGTTGCAAGTAAACAAAAATGTGCTTATTGTGCCTCCATGTCTTGTTTCTTCCAGGGTTAAAATAAAATAAAAAATTAAAAAAAAAAAGCACATCTATGTATGTATCTATATGGTCAATCATATGACCAGGCTAAGTAGGTAATATAAAGGATTTATTTATCGAACTCCAGCTTTTTAAAAAAATATTTCCCATAATTACAAGTACTTTCAAACTTATTTTATAAAATCGAGGTTGTTTAATGAAGTTAAGTTTTAAAAATATGACTTCAAGTTTAAAGTGGAGTTTTAAAAACACAGCATCCAATTTGAAGCCATGTTTTAAAAATGACGACGTCAATGCGAAGACGTGTTTTCAAAACAAACACTAATGGGTTAGAAAGACATGAGTTTGTTAAAAAAAAACGTTAATATGAAGCTTCCATGTGGCATCTCAAACACTAGATACAAGTATGCTGTCATGTAAGTTATATGAAGTAAGACAATAATAATCCAAAAAATAAAAAACTAACAATAATGCAAGGCAGATGTTATAATAAGGATAAAGAAAGAGAATTCTGCCGCTTATTTTGCACCTTATAAAAGTTAAAACCTAGAGCCTAACATGGCAGATATCACATCTAGAAGTATCACCTGCCAGCCATGCACAATGAGAAACAAATTTAGATTACATGTATCCCAAATGAGAAGATTTAAAGACCAACTCAACATAGATTCAAAAACTAACCATGCTTTAAAGAATTTCCTACCTGCGTTCAGAGAGAGAAAAGAAGAGCGCTTATCAAAATGAATGCTTGTCATCTAGCATGCATTTCTGTGTTAGTGTGTACATAAAGACTTACTTATCTCCATGATCTGCTTGTGAAGAACCAGCCTAATGTCCAGCTAAGCCCCTGCAACAACTGAGCAAAAACATTTTCATTTATTAACACAATATGCCCAAAGCAAGAGACGGTATAAGAAAAAATGATTGCCATGTCCTTAACAAAAAATACTCCAATGAGTAGGAAAAATTAAAGGATTTAAGGCACCATCCATATCATAAAGCCTGCACACCAATATCCACTCTATGTCTTGCCAAAAAGAGTCAACTAACCTACTAAAGAGTGTCTGGCTGGGGCAAATAGCCAGTTCATCCCTCATGGAGCATTTGAACAATTGAGGATCATGTCTACTCATGAAATTTGCATAACCAAAAAAAATGGTGTAAAACCAATGATGAGAGTGACAACCACCCCAATAAAATAAAATAAATTAAAATAAAAGCGTGAGATATATCAATTATCAACTATGTCACTGAAAAGATCTCGATGCCAAAAGTTAAATAACATTTATCAAAGTCCGACTTAGAATCATTAAAAAACATACCAGCACTCACTTGGTGCATGTTAATGTTACTTGGTACTTACAACACCTCAAACAAGAACTTAAGAGGTTCCATTACAAGATAAATCATTTAAAACTCTTTTGCACTGGAATGACTATTTTACTCAATGCCCATACAAAATGAAACATCTCACCTAATGGATGCATAATAAGCCTCATAATGAATTTTCTTATATATCCCTACAACAAAATCAAACCCTTTAGGTAAAGTCCACATAGAATCCTTTCAGCTTCCAAGGATGCTGGAAACATGCCATGGGCAAAACCAATTTCACACTGACACAGTTCTCATTTCATAGGTGAATATTGATCAACAATCTATGTCAGAATGGTTATGAATGCATAAGATTAACTAACCAATATACAACAATACTTATTCATATGAAACACATATAGCACGCAATTTGCAATATTACAAGTGGATTACACATGTGAGATGCCAAAAAGCAAAACAAGATGAAATTGCCCCAGTTTTCTGCCACCCATCTGTACTCAATTGTAATTCCTCGTGAAGATGAGGCAAATGCAGGGACCAAGATAAACCAAATGTAAGCAAACACTCAAATTCTCCCATATAAAGAAAAGGCATAACTGAAAGTAGTGTTGCACAATAATCTTTATGGTTGTGTTTGGATGCTTGAATTTGTGGAGGTACCAAACTAAACCAAGCCTTAAGTTCCATTAAATGGTGTTGGCTACATGAATATTCTTCTCCATTTAGCTCTATGAAGGGCTAGTTGGTTAGTCATATTAAAAAGGTTCATATCTCTATTCACTACACTAATCTAGGTCTACCCATTCCCCTAGCATTTTCATCTCCCGTAACTATGTCGCATCTCCTCACTATTGCCTTTGTTGGTTTCCGTTATATATGACTAAACCATCTCAATCTATTCTCTCTCAACTTAGCTTCTATCGGTGTTACTCCTACCCATTCACGAATATATCCATTCATAACTTTGTCTTTCCTAGTCTTGCCACACATCTACCTTCACATCCTCATCTTGGGAACACTCTTCTTATTTTTATATTATTTCTTAGTTACCCAACATTCTGTCTGATATAACATTGCTGGTCTAATAGTCGTTCTATAGAACTTTTCTTTTAGTCTAGTTGATATCCGTTTATCATATAGTATCCCAGACGTACTCTTCCACTTAAGCAAACCCGCCTTAATTCTATGGACCACATCTTTTCCAATCTCCCCATCCATTGTGATAATCAAGCCTAAATGATAAAAATGTTCACTCTTAAGTAGTTCTTGATTTTCAATCTTCACTTCTCTATTTCCATTTCTGTTGTTACTAAAATTACACTTCATATATTCGGTCTTAGTCCTGCTTGTTCTAAATCCTTTAGATTCAAATGCTTCTCTCCAAAACTCCAACTCAGTGTTAACTCCTTCTCTTGTCTCATCTACTAACACAATATCATCTGCAAAAAGCATACACCATGACACATCATCTTGAATATTTCTCGTCAATTCATCCATAGCTAAAACAAAAAGACAAGGACTTAAAATTAATCCTTGATGTAATCCTACATTAATTGAAGGGGCAAAATAAAGTAAAAATTATATGTTTGGTTGTCTTCTAATTTTCTGAAAAATATATAGTAAACTTGTTTGGCGAATTGTTTCTGAAAATTATCGTGGGATTTTTTTTTTTTTTTTGAAAACAAACACAAACCCCTAGGTTCCCACTCTTGAACACTGGCTTGCAAAGGGAGGGAGCCCAAGAGGCTTTATATTCACAAGGCCAAGCCTCGTTTGTTCCAATGTGGGATCGTAACATTCCACCACACCCCACAGGTGATGTCCACTGTGGTCCACTCTATCAACACTAATCCAATGGTAACCCTTTTCCTTCTAGTGGTTTCACTTATCAGTATTCAACACCTCGATAGGTATCTTAATCCAGCCCTATGAAGCGCGGACACCTCTCCGGAAGTCACATACAATCGGACACGGACACGTGTCAGACACGTTGGGACACTTTAGACATGCTGAGGATACGTTGGGACATGCTGAGGACACACAAGGGACACGTTGAGGACAAGCTGCGTATTATTTTTTTCAAAAAAAATTATAATTTTTAATTTTTTTTACTAAAATAGCATATCTAAGGTTGATAAATTTGGTAAAATTAAATATTTGACATAGAATACATATTAAATATTTAAAAACATACATATAATAAAAATATATGTTTTGAATGTGTCCCCCCAATGTGTCATGTCCTGCATTTTTTTAAAAATTTGCATGTTCGTGTGTCCATGCTTCTTAGATCCAGCCTATAGGTCACCCCTCCATAGCTTGAACTGCAAAGTCACACCCATCCAATACTCACAATTGTGTCTAATCCCCATACTTGACATGATAGTTGGCTCTAATACCAAATGAAATGAACCCTTGGGTAGAACTCACCCTTGAAAACTGGCTTGCAAGGAGAGAGAGCCTAAGAGGCTTATATTCACAAGGTCAAGCCTCTTTTGTTCTAATGTGAGATCATAATAAATAAATATATTTAAAAAAAGTACTTATTAGGAAACACCAAAAAAGTTTTATTCAAATTTTTGGAAACTATTTTTGCACAAAAATGGGAACGCTATGAACACAACAGGTGTTTTTTAACTTGTTTTTGCCTTAGAAAACATGGAAGAAAAAACAAAAGCGCATTAAATAATAATATACGTATCAGTATTGGTGACATGGTCATATATTGGTAATATCATACAATATATTTTAGAATAATGATATCAGAAGGAAAATAATTTCCAATGCCTTATTTCTGGTATATGAAAGACACATATCCCGTCGAATCACTATTTGTTTTATTATTAGTTGTCAATTTTATATGACCATTCATACCATGCAGTCTTCCAATGTGACTAATCCTTGTTGATGAAGATGAAACATAAGGGTTATTTTTTGTCAAGGCACATAGTTCTCCTATATGATTTGCAATTTGCAAGAATTACTTTCGGTTAATACACTCCCCCTATTCTGAGGGATACTCTTCACAAATTCTTTGCGAAAAATATACCAGCCAAGAATGTCATCAATAGAAAACCTCCCAATGGTGCGGAGCTAACTGCATTCTATAGAATCACTTAACTATGTTTGGCTGAAAACTTAAGAAGCACGGGCAACACTACAATTTAAAAAAATTCAGGCACGACACGTAAGGGACACGTGCAAAATATATGATTTTATGTATCTACTATATCATATAGGGGAAACGTGAAGAAGAGAAAAAAAATTACTGACACATGGGGTGTGGGGGTGCAAGTGTCACTTGCAGCCCCATGGGCTAGTAATTCTTTTCCCCTTATGAACTAGCATTATTAACAGTAACTGCTTTTTTAACAAATCTTCAAGTTCTACAAGTCGAATCCAAAATCAATTTTGGAATTCAGAAAACAAAACAAAACAAAACAAAAAACTTGTATTCAATCAAGTTAATTGAAATTAAATTGAGAGAGTTAGTTCAACAGAATCACAGATTTGGGTTCTTTCAATTTTGTTCGTTTTCTCAGGAAACAAACGGAGGGTAAGAAAATAGTAAAAGCAAATATGCAAGAAAAGGAAATGCAGACCTGGTATGATATCAGTGTGGTTTAGAATCACGAATGAGATGAGAAAATGGAAGTCAGGCGATTTAAAGTGAAAGAAAGTTAGTTTAGTGCTCCGTTTGGATTGAGTGATTTCAAAAAGGGGAAAAAAAAACACAACTGATGTTGATTATTTTTATTTTTATTTTTTTTTCAGTAAAAATTATAAAATGTGGTTTAGAAATCTATCAGGATATAAAATATGGGGTGGAGATTTGATTATGTATTGTGAATTTTCACTGGGTAAATTATATTTTTGTTTCAATTCTTAAATTTTTTTTTTTCTTTAAATTTTGGCTCTTCATGTTTTAATTTTTTTCAAAAAATTTACTTTTAAAGTTAATTTTTGTTTAAATTAAATATAAAATGTTACGTTAACGGTCATATAATATAAAAAACATATTATTATATTGAGATTTAGATTTATGTGAGATGTATGAGTTATATATAATAAAATATTTTTATACCAAGCGACTGTCAATGTGATATTTTCTATCTAATTTTGAATAAAAATTCGTTTTGGGATAAACTAAAAAAAAAAAAAAACTTCAAAACATTAAAACATGAAGAGTCAAAGTAAAAAAAATAAAAAATAAAAAATTAAGGACCAATGTGAGAAAATTGTCAAACATAAAGAGGCAAACTATAACTTATCCAATTTCATTTGTTGAATGAATTTAATTCATAGATTAATAATTTTGAGTAAAATTCTGAAAATATAGCATATCCTAATCACTTGTTTAGATTGTTAAAGACACTTTGAGAATTTCAAAATAATACAACATTTCTTGGAAATTTTGTCCGGAGGAAACCGTAAACCGAGACCATGTAAATGTAGGCTATAGAAGCACTACTATTGCCATTTCACAGAAATTTCGTCCGCGAGATCGGCACCTATGTACACGTGTGGTTTTTAAGACTTTCACCATGAACACTCAGGTGAACTTATTTTAACATTACAATACATGTTTCCCAAATTCACCAATTTTTCTCAAAATGATAAACATTTTCAATGTATAAGCATGAGATAATGCTCAATACAAATGAATAAGAAAATAGTTTCAATTCTCCTAATTCACATGCAATTTCTACAACACTCATAACTATCATTTACCGATAGCCCAAAACAGATATTTCTAAACAGATAAACAATTATCAATTAAGATAAGCTCTCTAAATTTTCAAGAGGTGAGTGATAATACATATCTAACTCCACCATCCTCATCAACATCAATCCAATTTCACAATTTCAATATCAATCTCATAATTTATATAAAATCAACATTTGAGGCATTAGAACAAAATCCCTTTCCTTTCCAAAATCAATCCCAATATTCTAAATTAACAATTTACTCCCAATTGAACATTTTTTTCCATATCAAAATCATTTTCAAGGATCCATTTGAAAAACCCCTCTTTAGATTTTTACCCAAAACCCTAGATTGTTCTAAATCTTCCAAAAATCTCAATATTGTTTAGAAATAACAAATAACTATGTTAAAACTCATAAAAATGGTGAAGATATCTCTACCACAAGCTTAGAAGATAATTGAAGGAGGGATGGAAACTCAAAGATGCCAAAAATCAACTTTGCTCCGATTAGAACGAAACCCTCGCCAAGCTCTACCTTTTTAACAAAGGGACATTGGTGAAAAGATCGACAGATCTATGTGTATTCAAGGGAAACAGTGAGTTTGAGAGAGAGAGTAAGAGAAATTAGGGTTTTGAAATGTTTAGGGAGAGAGGTGAAAAAGTGAATCAAAAGTGGCTGTTTACAAACTGATATACGCACCAATCGCTTGAGCGCAAGAAGTGTCGTTTGAGTAACCAAACACAATAAGTTATTTCGCTCAAGCGTAAAAATTTTCGCTCGAGCATATAATACAATCTCCCAGTAGTTTTATAGACAGAAGACCATCACTCGAGTGAAGAATACAAACTCTTAGTATTTTTGCAGACCTGCAAAAGTACTGGAGGTTCATAAAGACCGCTCAAGCGCAAGAAGTGTAGCTCGAGCGTAGGAACAAAATTCTAGGCATCAATAACTTAAAAAACAAGCTACCAACCTATTTCAAAAGCCACCAACACGTCCCAAAAGCCAAACTCAAAGAGAGATAAGGGGAACCAAGACATAGCCAACTGTATAAGACAATGAAACCCAGATCCAAAACATACAATAGGTCGGGTCTTAAACCAAAAACGCTATAACCTCCTTGCTTAAGGAATTTCATCCCCGAAATTTAAACCAAACATTAAAACCAAGTTTAAACCAATTACAACAATAATAGTCATTCAAATTCATCACCATGACCTATCCACCGGTCATCCATTCTCATCAATATGATAAATGAGTTTTCAATACTGAATATACAATTCACATTTCCAAAACATATGCAATGTTTATATTTCATTAACATAACAAAGTTTTCAATACATGTTCAAACATCAATAAATAGGTCCGGATACTTCTCACGGACTTCCGCCTCACGCTTCCAAGTGGCCTCCTCAACCCCGTGGTGTCGCTACAACACCTTCACTATATGGATCATCTTGCCTCGCAAGACTTGGTCTCGAGTATCCAACACTCTAATGGGTCTCTCCTCATACGAGGCATCCTTATCCACCTCTAACTCAGTCCAATCCAACACATGTGAAGGATCCGGCTGATACTTCCAGAGCATACAAATATGAAACACATCATGAATCCTGGAAACTTGTGATGGCAAGGACAAACGATAAGCTACTTCCCAAATTCGCTCTAGGATCTCAAAAGGCCCAATAAACTTAGGAGACAATTTCTCACTCCTTCTAAATCTTATCAAACCGTCTAGGTGATATCTTTAAGAAGACGTGATCTCCTACCTTAAAGGATAACGGTCTCCTTCTATAGTCGGCATAGCTCTTCTGATGACTCTGAGCCATGACCAACCTCTTACGGATAAATGTAACTTTCTCTGTCGTTTGCCGAACCAACTCTGGACCCAACATAGATGCATCACCCACCTCAGCCTAACACACAAGCGATCTACACTGTCGGCCATACAAGGCCTCGAATGATGCCATGCCAATACTCGAATGGAAGCTATTATTATAGGCAAACTCCACTAAAGGCAAGTGTCTTTCCTACGACTCCTTAAAGTCAAGGACACAACCTTGAACCATATCCTTAAGGATCTGAATAGTACACTCGAACTGTCCGTCAGTTTAAGGATGATAGGCGGTACTAAAAGTCAGTCTAGTGCCCGAGGCATTCTGTAAGCTCTGCCATAACCGAGTCGTAAAGCACGGATCTCTATCCGAAACCATAGCCACAGGGACCCCATGAAGTCAAACAATGTCCCTAATGTAAAGGTTGGCTAGATAATCTACTGAGTCACTCATGCGCGTAGGTACAAAGTGCGCCAACTTGGTTAATCGGTCAACCACTGCCCAAATGGCGTCATTACCTCGTTGTGTCCTCGGAAGACCCACGACAAAATCCATTGTGACATGTTTCCACTTCCATTCTGCTATAGGCAAGGATTGCAACAAACCCACTGGCCTCTAATGTTCGGCCTTTACTTGTTGACAAGTAAGGCACCTCGACACAAACACAGCTACATCTTTCTTCATTCCGTTCCACCAAAATTGGCGGCTAAGGTCATGATACATCTTTGTGCCTCCCGGATGCATCGCAAGGTGTGAATGGTAAAACTCTCGAAGTACCTCCTCTCGATAAGACTCAGGCACAAAAAGACGGTCAAGATATCCAACATTCGAGTCAAAATACACGTTCAAGCCTCTTTCTACCTTTCTGCTAAAGATCTTCTGTTGGAGGGTTTTTACCTCATGATCGCCCCTCTAGGCTTCTATAGCTCGGCTCACAAGTGTAGGTTGGGTAATTACAGTAAACAAGGTAGCTAACTCAACGGACTGGCCAAAGTGCAAGTTGAACTCACCAATAGCGTCCAACATCTCCCATTTCCAGATGGCAATATTAGCAACACTGCTAAAGGATTTCCTACTCAAAGCATTGACCACTACGTTGGCCTTCCCCGAATGATAGTGCAACTCAAAGTCAAAGTTTTTCATAAACTCCGTCCACCTCATTTGTTCCAAATTCAGATCTTTCTAAGAGAATAGATACTTCAAACTCTTATGATTAGAAAACACCTCAAACTTCTCACTACAAAGGTAATGCCTCCAAATTTTCAAAACAAAGATCACAACTGCTAGTTCTAAGTGTGGACTCGCCTTTTTCGTGCCCCATCTTTTGGAAAGGTTTAAAAGAAAGGCCTCACAGTTCGGACTCTCACGGTTCTGAATCTAGTGTCACAAGTGCAATGTGAAACTAATAAACACCAAAGAGTCAAAATTCGGCTAATCGTTTTGAAAAATCAATTTTAAATCAAATAATGCCAAAATTGGACTGATTTGCTAGATACAGAGTTGCCACTTAAATATTTTTTATTTTGAAAAAATTTAGGAAACCCTAACTCGTGCCAAAGGCCACGTGTCCGTCATCACCAAAGTTGCCTCGGCTCGAGAACTTAGGTACGAGGGGGGAAGGTCATGAATTGAGTACCCCCGCTCGCCTGATCAAAGATCGGCCTGTACTAATCATGATATAATTTTTTATAAACATTATGTGCTTTTGTTCCGATTATTAAGCTAGCTTTACTATGTGATGCGCACAAGCAAATATAGACTAGTTTGCTCAATTTGGAACAATTCAACTCATGTTTGTTTTGCAAAAATGGTTTGAATTTGCCACATTCAGTGGGCTTAAAGTTTGCGAATTTTCCACCAAACATAGTGGGCTTAAAACATGATTTGCCACTCAACAAAGTGGGCTTAAAACTTACATTCGTTGAATCATTCCAATTCAAACAACAAGCCTTCATCCACAGGTATTCAAGCAGCTTAGCATTTAAGCACATAGCCTCATGGTGAGCATGCTAATCATGGCAACATTCACACTTATGCAAGCATGCTAAAGCGTAAAAACTCACCTAGTACTCTAAGCTAGGAGTTAGAAAGATATGCATGATTCCTAACTATACAAAATGCCTAATGCAACACATGCGAAGAATGCAATTAATAGGCTCGGCTACTAATTTGGCATGTGAAGCAAT